GTGCTTGACAAGCACAAACACGATCCGGAGCGATTACATGCTAGGCTGGAAAATTTTCTGAGGATCGTTCAAAAAAGTGGCAACATGAACACAGCTGGTCTGACTTGAAAGTTTCTTAAACGCCTTGGCTGGTTACAGCTGTTGGTCGGCAAGCAATGCGGGGCTGCGGCAGCGTGGTAGTACCTGCGAACTGCAGATGCTTGGCCGTACTAATAGGACATGCGCTGCAGGGCTGCGGCATTCTGTAAGACCCGCGAACTGCAAGCGCAGTCCTTTAACGGGCGTGGGCCACCCCTCTTGTTTTGTTTAAAATCCTTTTCCTTTTCCCTTTTCCACATTTGTCGTTTCAGAGTCACATTTCTCGTCCTATTTCAATTCTCGCAGCCGAGAAGCCTTTTTCAAGCCCCAAAGGCGGCCTGCAGCTGCATCTTTTTTCTATTTCGCTTTAAGGCTTCGCAGCCAACCGCCAGACCTCCTGCGGAGCCTTTTTCTTTTATGCCTTAGTGGCTTTCTGTGTGTGCGGAACTTTGTCACCCAGAGTCCTTTATCATTTGTACAGAATTACAGGGGACCACCGGAACCCCGGCAGACAGACAGAGTGCCCGGATGGGCAAAGGCCCTGAATGCCCACCATGTTTGCCCTCCCACAGAGAAGGACTCATGGCAATACAGGGTTGTTCTCACGTGGGCGCAACAGCTTTCAGGCATCCATCATCCCATTCCCGGACCATAACATGAGTCCGAGGCGGGCTCGAATATGTTATGGGCCGCCTTAAGGTTCGTCTGAGGATATCTGTGTGCTCGCCTGCCAGGAATGTTTTCCAATCTGCGATGGGCAAGCAGGCAATTGGTGTCTTTGGCACGAATTTCTACTCTAGAATGGATACGCCAAGCGCTCAGGACATCCAGGACGTAAATTTTGTACAAAAGTAAGTCCTGCCTTGAAAGTCCTTGCCAACGCAGGTTTGCGTGCGTCATGTGCTACCCTATGAAGCCGTTCGCCACAGCCCCAAGTTGTCAAGTTGTGATCGTCCAAGCGGTCTTGCCTGCGACGGACCAGCCACAGGTGGGAACGCGATCCATGAACTACCTGCGCTTCCGGGAGATGCCAGCGGGTGCATCGAGCCTAGAGACGCTGAGCTTGTTGCATGTCCATGCTCCTACATTCACATCGAGTTTAAAGTTGTTTTTATAAGGTGAACACTATCGTCATGATTATGTGCTACACAGGCAAGATCACTTCCGCTTCAATGACAAAGCTAAGACAGGGCACTAGAGTTCAAGCCAGGCTACAACCAGGAAGATTCCCTGATGCTGAGCAAGAGACTTGGATCCTGCGAGTCGATGGACGCAGTTTCGCCTGTGGTCTTGAGGCCAATCTGCAGTGGACCGTGGCTTCATGAGAGCAGTCTCATACCGGTGCTACGCTGCAGAGGAGCATCCAGCGTGGCCAATCTCATGTTGTACTGCCTTTTTGAGCTCGAAGGGCCAAGCAGGGGTGAAAGCTCGTGGTTTACGCAGGTCCCAGGCCGGAGTGTGGCGGGTGGGTCAGATGGGTCAGAGGGTTCAAGAAAGTTAGAGACGGTTGCAAAGGTCTTCCTACAGGCCTCACCTTTCTGAACCGTGAGCTTCGAAATCAGTCACCAGGAGAAATGGGAAGGGAAGAAGCCTGTTGACGAGCTGCTCGGCTGGGTTGCAGCGGGGAGCTCGCAGCAAGACAATGCCGAGCTGCTTCTCCTACAAGGTTTGGCCGCCCGCAGGAACTTCGCACCCTCGGGATCAAGAACGGCTGCTGACTCAGCTGGGCGGCAGTTGTAATCTGGAGAGTTCGGATTAGTTGGGGTTCCTGTGAGCGACAACGAATATGCCTGTTTGAAGGTGACTACAGCAAGCTGGATGCCGATGGTCTTGCCGAACCCGCAACACGAATTCTCGGTGCTTTGGCTAAATTTATATGAGTAGCCCGTCGGACTCTCGCGAGCAATACACCGTCGTACGCAACTGTTGATGAGTTTGGCAGCGTATCCTGCACTCCGCAACAATGTATCGCAGTTCACACTAGTGGCTGCTGTGACCCTGCTGCAGCCATGTGCAACCTTGAATAGTTCACCTTGTTCTCCATCGTCTACCATTGAATCCAGTGGCTGAGCCGAAGCCAAATCAACAACGGATGTGTGAGACATCCAGTCACGAATGCCTTTTCAACCTCCGATTCGTAAGCGGTCGTCGCAGCAGCCTCTTGAGCAAGATCGGTTCTTCAAATTCGGCAGAGAAGATCTGGACAAAGCAGGTCGCAGACGGCCTTGTGTGACGCATGTCGAGGGTATCCATTCAGCAGCACGCTTCCTGAATAAGCACATAGCAGCGCCCTGCTGTCAGTACCTTGCTGCAGGTGATGATGTGCTAATTGGTCGAACATCCGTGCTGCCTCCCGACATGATCCGTGCCTTTGCTAGCAGTTGAAGCTGTTCGCAATGTCTGCAAGAAGTGGTTCACTGGCTAACCATGGACTGCTTGCCTACATCAAGCCGTGCCACCAAGGGGATGATGTGGGCCCCAAGAAGTTCGACAGAAAGGACCTGCACTCGACACGACTGCTTTGGCATCCCCAGCTGCGAACCTTCGAGGATAGCTCGGTCCTATGCCGAACGGCTGAGAGTGGCATCGTGGACCAGGTCATGGTCAGCCTGAACAAGGATGGGTAAGCCGCCTGTAACACCACAAAGATGTCTTCAGCTTTGTGGCGTTCCTCTGACTTGAGATGCCCCTTCAGCATATTGGGCAAACCGGCTGAGGTACAAGTTCACGAAAGTTCGCCTCAGGACGCTAAAGATTCCGGAGGCCCGTGTGCGCTTGCAGTCACAACCTGGCGCAGCCTGGATTCGCGGGACGGAACCTGACCGGACGGCATCAGGGCATGGTTGTCTGACTCCGCTTCCAGGTTGGAGACAAGTTTGCGTCCCGCCACGGTCAGAAAGGAACGCATCGTGCTTGCAACAAGGTAGGATTTGCATGTTGGAACCGACATAAAGTGCAGTTGCGGCAGCTCCGCAGAAGCATTCAGCGCTTTGTCAGATGCTCGAAGAACATACGTAGTACAGCTGTGGCAACATTTCTGGCAATACATCTTCCAATAGTACCCAAACCCAGCAGTGCTTCTTGATTCCTGTGCTGAGGCTGGGCATCATGTACCGTCAAGAGGACTTGCCCTTCACCCACTTCGGGATCACGCCAGACATCGTATTGCAGCCGTGTTTGCAGGGATATTTGAAGCACCTAGAAGCAGTGCCATTTTGCGATCTGAACAACAGTAGTAGTCGTGTCGTAGTGATATTGGCAGTAGTCGGGGTGTTCGTCGTAGTAGTAGCATTAGTGGTAGCGGGGGGTAGTCGTATGGTAGCAGAGTAGTGGCAGTAGTGAAGTAGTGGTGATAGTAGTAGTAGTAGTAGTAGTAGCAGCAGCAGTAGTAGTCGCAGTAGTACTTGTAGTAGTAGTAGTAGTAGTAGTAGCAGTAGTAGTAGTAAGTGTCTCGGCCCAAACCCTGATTTCTGTTTGGGGGCCCGAGCGACTGTGCATGGTTTTTACAGCTGCCATGTTGGACGCTGCAACACTTTTCTGGCGAGGCTTACTGAGGACAAGTGGCTGCCTGCTTGTGGGGCTTTCGAGCCGGGGCATGCCACGATCCCTGCCGGACACCTCCTCGTCGAGGGATGAAAGCTACGAGGCCACCGACAGTGATGCTTTCACTGCTGCTGAAGTCAGTACTGATGACGATGCTGCTATGGATCCTCCTATGGGTGGTGCCACTGGATCCACTGACAATAGGGAGGCTCCCGCCTTCGCAGGACCCATGCCTGAGCATCCGCCAGAGGCGGCCCCTGCAGTGCCGAGCCTTCGGATACCGGAAGCCTTCCCCGACTACCCATCCTTCCTGGAAAAGAACGCGGTCATGGCCCTCAGAGAACTCTGCTTTTTCTTCCTGGCTGGCCACCTTGCCTTCCACCACGAAAACAAACGTGTCTCTACGGCCAAATATGCAGCGCAACGACGCAGCCGCGGCAACCAAGACCCAGGCGATCTGTATGCCTATGTTTACATACAGTTGGATGAAGTTCCAGCCGCGCGCTTGGACAAGGCTTACCAAGCTTTGGCTGAGCTTTGGAATACGGGAGTTCCGGAGAACGATGTGGTCTGGCTGGCCAGCGTGGGATCCTATGAGGATCCTCCAAAGCATGTATGCCTCCTGCACATGGACCGTATGCTCAGGAAAAGTTTGCGCCGGCACATGGATGCAGCAAGCGCGGACCACATGGCTGGTTACATGGTGGACTATATCCGGGGATTGGATCTATTCCACATCCCCACCTTGCTGGCTCTTTTCCCACTGTTGGATGACGATGGACGATTGGAATTTCAGCAATGGTTCCACAACTACCCACACCGCGCTCAACCAGCTGCAGAACGGTCGTCTGGATCAAGGGGACCTGAGGTCTAACTGCCGTCGCGGAACGCGCGTGGACATTGGGAGACATCTCAGGCCCAGCAAACTACGACCCACCTGCCGCTGTCGAAGTGGCAGTCGCTTTCTTCGCCGACGAGGCAGACGCACAGCCGCCACCTTTCTTTCGAGCAGTCGACAGACTGCAGCTGTGAAAAGCCTGCTTGTACAGTTTTCTTGTAGAATTTTTCATTTCGCACAGTCAATCAAGCCCACGAGCCCGTACCCACCGAGAGGCCGTCCTGGTCCCAAGTCCAGGAACAGGGGTTCGGCACGCCTCAGCCTTAGAAGCCTAGGCATGACTATGCTTTTTCAGCAACTTCGCAGTATAGCTGCTATGCCGACTCCTGTAGACACGAGGGTTGGGGGCAATTCACACCAGAAACCCCCTGAAGCGCTACGTAATGCTCATCACTCTAGCCCTATCGTAGCGAACCATAACGGTGTTTTTCTTTGCAACCCTAGGCATCCCAAACCCGCCCGTAAGAGAGCGTTTCTCCGGGCCCGTGCTCGGGCATCGCAACACGGCAGTACAATGTACAGAGGTCAGAGGCTCAGTGCACAGCAACTTGGTGTTGAACCACGAGCCCCACCATCCCGAAGTTCTGCGCAATCTAATGTTTCCCAAACCGATCGCATACATTTTATGTCATGGAATGCAGGTAGCCTCACCGCGGATCGAAATCTTGAACTCAACACGTGGCTTGACACCGCCGAGGGACACAGCCGCAAGCGCACTCGGATCGCCTGTTTCAAGCTGCGTGGGCGCGTGCCACCCGGCACCTGCCAGATCTACGCCGGCCTGCCACGCCTGAGCACCGCTGCCAATCCGTCACAGAACTGTGGCGCCTACGCGACATAGTCAAACGAGGTAGGCAGCAACCGTGCATTTCACTTCGAGATTTTATCCAACGTTGGAAGGAGTTAAGCACACTGCAGCGGCATCAGCGGGTGCTCAGGCGGCACTGCCAGCATCTCCGCCGTCAGAAGCTGTCCCAGCGCTTGCAAGAAGCGGTGGCCTGCAAGGGATATATAGGCATATTTCGGGTGCTCAGTCTTTTTGCGCCCAAGCAGCCTAGACGTAAGCTCCAGCTGCGTGCCCCGACTGGCATGCCCCTTGACATTGCCTCTACTGTCTCAGCCATTCGTACCTACTACCACGACCTGTATCATAAACATCCCCCTCAACCTTCACCAGCACCAGGCCCCCTTTTTCAGTTTTCTTGGGCACAGCTCCAGACAGCTCTGTCGAGTCTGCCTTGCAACAAAGCACTGCCGCCTCATGTCGCGCCATCACGACTGTGGTGCCTAGCATCAGACATCCTCACTGACAAATATCTTCCCATGCTGAACGCTTGGTTAGCGGGTATGAGTGTCCCTCCACCGGAGGAATGGCATGTGGCGGACTTGTGCTTGATTCCGAAACCATCCAAACCCATGACAGGACCAGAAGCCCTACGACCCATCTCCCTCATCCACCCAATTTCGAAAGCCCTCTCCATAATCCTGAATAACCACATTAAGCCCCAGCTCTGGCAACTTGTACACGACTTGCCACAGATGGCCTATCTTGAGGCAAGATCAGTGCAAGACGCACTTGATCGGGCGTCTGCACATTGCGCTCGCGTCAGGGCGGTGTTGCGTGCACAGCAACAGAACATACACCTCCGCAAGCAGGGACACCGCCCGGCCGACTGCAGAGGAGGAGTTCTTTTGTCCCTTGATCTCCGACAGGCGTTCGATGTCATGCCGAGATCCAAGCTACAGGAAGCCATGGACCTTGCCAAAGTAGACCCAGCAGCTCAGCATGTTATATTGCAGCTTCATGCCCATGCCAGCCTCCGCGTCACACATGGCTCCCAGGTAGCCACGCTGGACACAGATAACGGCATACGTCAGGGCTGTTGCTTAGCTCCCTCATTGTGGGTGTTGTATACAGGGCTTATCCTCACCTACATTAAGCAGAAAGTAAGCATGCATGACTCCACAGTCTTCGCTGATGACTTCCTGTTTCATTGGCTAGTTGACTCCACTGATCAGCTGAAGGGTGCATTTAACCACATCAGCTTTGTGCTTGACACCTTGGCAGCATTTGGTATGACTATCAGCCCTGGCAAGTCGGCTGTCTTGATTGGGGTTCGTGGGTCCAAGGTGGGATCGATACTTCAAAAGCATGTCTTTAAGGATCCTAGAAAAGGCAAGTTTCTACATTGCCCCACCCGCCACGGTACCACCCGCTTACCTGTCGTTACTCAGCATCCATACCTTGGCGCGATACTCAGCTACCAATCTATGGAGGCACTCACGCTCAAGGAACGCGTTCGTCAGTCTTGGAGCTCTTTTCATCGTATCCTGCCGGCCCTTCGCTCAAACAGCGTGGCCCTGCGCAGCCGCATTTCTGTCTGGCAGAGCTGTGTCTTCTCAACGCTGATGCACGGCCTGGACAGCGTGGGCCTAGCTCCGGGTGGCTCGACACTGCTTTATAAGCATGTTGTTAGGCAGCTACGACTTGTTTGCAAGGCACCGTCATACATCACGCATGAAGAACCAGCAGCTCTGCTCACCCGGCTGCGCGTACAGGATCCCACAGACACTCTGCGCCTCCGTGTACAGCGCCGCTTGAGCCGCTGCCGAGAAGGCCACATGGCTGCTCTTCAACCACCACTGGTGCACAGTTGGTGGCAACAACTAGAATCCAATCTACAATCTGCAGCCAGTGACCCGAAGCAGATGCTCCATCAACATCCTCTGCGCGTACCGACCAGGTTGGTAGCACTTGCATCACCGGTCAAGCCCCTACCCTGCCCCATTTGTGGATTCTACTTCCCTACTAACCGAGCCCTACGCATCCATGCTGCCCTCAAACACAAATCTGAGCCTCCCATGAACAATCCTGCATCTCAACTCCAACCCAAACCATCACCTAGACCGCAGTCAGCCATGCGACGGGACTTTATGCAACACAGCCTGCAAGGGCTACCCACGTGCAAGCACTGTTTTTGGGTCTTCACCAGTTGGCCATCTTTTTGCATGCACTTTGAGAAGGCGAGATGCCCGGTACTGCATCTTGGAGAGATGCTTGTGCCCACGCCTCGACCGGCCACAAGCCTTGACTTCCCGCAAACACCTGCCATTGCCCCTAAACCGACACCCGTACAGTCTAAGGACCCCATAGTCTCCACTAATCCTGAGGCAGCTCCCGAAGAGACCATACCCCTGACCCCTGATCCTGTCACGACCCCTACTGTACAGACTCGTCACTTGTTGAGCCCGACCGACACATCCAATGTTGTTACGGTCATTGACATTACTACATTACCGCAGATATACCTTCTATAGGCCTGCAACCCGAAAACCCAACAAACATGCTTGTGGACCGAATTGTCAACCGATATCCCTGCCTGCCTAGAGACTGGTGCACCATTGCGCTGGCTAGTGATTGGAAACGCCTGGCGCTGCACATCAAAAGCACAGATTTCAACTACTGTTTGCTGTGCGGCCAATGGCTCGCACATCCAGGTTACCTGTCACGACATGTCAAGTCTCAGCATGCCGAAGCCTATATCTTTCATGCTGCTGTGCTAAAGTGGCTCGACGACCGTAAGACGGCCATCCTGTCGCCCTGCCAGTTCTGCGGAGCTGACTTTAAGGCGCGCAAGTGCAGTCGCCCAAGACATGCCAAGGAGTGTCCCATCTTGTATCGTGCAGGTCTCCTGCTCCGACTGTGCGCCTCTTATCAACAGACTGCTACTGCTTCTGCTCCTACAACTGTCGTAGAAGCACCTCACGCCTCAGGCCATGGAGACCCACATGAAGGATGCACTCCGGAAGGAGATGGCGGATGTGGAAACCCAGGAGCTCATGGGAGCTCAAGAGCAGGCCAACCTCCTTTCGGCCATGATGCAACGCTCAGCGGGGGCACTGGAGCCATCTGCACCGAGTGACCCAGGGATGGCCAGCACCAGGGCGAGCACGCCAGTGGGAGAGGGTGCAGCGACGGAGGCAGCCCCGGAAGGACCGGAACCCATGGAGACGCAGCGGGACAAGCGGACAGCAGAGGCTGCAGCCCCAAGACCGCCAGGACCGTCACGATCGCTCGGACCGGAAGTGGAAGTCCGACACAGACCGGGACAAGGAGCTGATGAATTTGTGCCTGAGCATGGGCCGGCTCCTGCTGCGACACGAGGACCAGTTCGGCATCAACAGGGCCCAGGACAACTATGTGATGTTCGCTCAGTGCCAGGGTGTACTTTCTATGGTCCCGGAGCTCTACGTGGCAGCAGAGGCCTGGAAGACCATGAAGAAGGAGACACCCGAGCTCCTGACGCTACCCCTTCGGGCATGGCTGCTGAAGCACTGGGTGGACCTCATGCTCAAGAGGATGGAAATGATCATGACGAGCGAGGAAACCATCAAGCAGGCCAAGGATATGCTGATCCTGGACGACCAGTGCAATGTTCCATACCTGGAATGGAACCGGAGCTCCCGCTCCCTGCAGATCAAGAAGGACCGCGACCCCATGACCCTCAGCCAGGTCCTGGAAGCTCTCAAGGCCATGCAGCTCTTGGCCATCCAGCCACTGGTGGTGTTGCGCTTCCACGCGACGCGCGCGAGCTGTGCCAAGAGATGAAGTCGGAGGTGGTGCCGCTTATGCTGCAAGTGGGCTCCCGCACGGCGGAGTGCCACCAGATGTGGAATCATCTGCAGCGTTTGAGCCACAGCGCTGCCTGCCGCGTGACTGCGGTCTCCTTGCGCAGCGACCGGATGGGACGTTCGGCCTTGGGCGTGGCGGTGCAGAAGATCATCGAAGAGATGTACGGCGCTTAAAGATAGCCAACCCTAGCAACTACTGCTATGGTAATGCTGCTGTCTTAGCTCTTTGCTGGTTGCTATGCATAGGCCCACTCGATGATGGGCCCCTGTTTGAGCCCTCCCTGTTGCTGGTTTTGCGTTGGCTCCGAACTCAGCAAGGCGTCGTGCCGTTATGGCAGAACATTCGTTGGCTTGCCCTCCATGCCTCATGGCAAGCTCCGTCCAGGCAGCACGATGTTATTGAGTACTTCACTTTTCTGCGCCCACTGCTCAGCCCTCGCATTCGCTTTGGTTCATGGGAGGCTAGGCAGTCTAGACCTGAAGGTACAGTCAGTGAAGACGAGGGCCACACGTGGCCTTTGCTGATCCCAGCCTCATTGCAGTTGCTTGCCGCCCAGCATCAAGAGCCTTTCTCCCTGCAATCACTCATAGAGCTGTGGAGCTCGGCCCAGGTCGGCCTGCAAGCCTTGACATCTGAGCCCCCGGCGATCTTGATTCAGATATGCCGCTTTCAGTTAGGTCCCCATAGTGCCTCTGGTTCTAAGGTCTTCTTTAAGGTTGAGCCCGAACCCTACCTAATGATACCTGCCTTCAAGCACCATCTGAATCACACCGCGTCGCTGGAGCTGCAGTACAGTAGGTACTGTCGGGCTGCTACCCTCATACATGAGGGCAGCACTCCGCTGGCAGGGCATTACCGAACACTCTTACATGACCCCTCGCTTGGTGACTTCATCACAAACGATTCAGTCTCCGCGCAGCGCGTGACTGTAGACCTGAGGTCCCATGCCCAAAGCAACAACTATGCATTCCTTTATAAGTACTGCCCCGAGATGCCTGCCATGCCCTAATTGGCCAATCGCTGCCGTAGCCGAAGCAGCTCAGTCAAGCTGTTGTGGTCATTACCGTGCTGGGCTTAAGTGTGTCAGTTTAGGTTGACTGTGCCACGATGTCTGCTTCACTTTTTGCATTCTTTTGCTCATTGTCCTTGCTGATGGGGCCCTCGGGCCGGAGGACGTGAGCCGCTCGGAATCCTCAAGAGAG